AGTATCCTCGCAAGCACAGTCTTAAATAAGTTAAATGAAGTTTTAAATTAAAGTAAAGGAAAACAGCTAATCCTTAAAACTGCAGGTCTTAAAGTGACAGTAGCCTAATATACAGTGAATTTATACAGTGAAGACTGTGAAGTGTTTGATAACTTTATTTGATTTCTGTATCCTACCTGTTAGACCTAAAAATCTTAAAGCACTGTTTACATGGGTCAAAAACATGAAAACAATAACTTTTTGTGCATTTTGACAGGGCAAGTAAAAATCTGAACCGGTCTGATGGGGCCACAAGAAAAAAATTAGCCCTGATATAGTGAAGGGCGAAGATAAATGTGTAATTTGCTATAATGGGTTTATGTGAAGATTGTTTCAAATTCACTTAAATTAAAAGTTGTTGTATTTTTTAAACTCCAATAAATGTTCAAATTTATAGCTTTCAATTATACTGCTGAATTGATCAAATTGAGAAGATAGAGACATAGCAGTATTGGTGTCGGTGATACCGGCCTTCATCCATAACAAAAGATGCAATTAAACAAATATTTAAAATATAGGCTACTGTCTTTATGTTGTTTCTACATCAATATGTAAAAGATTAAATATGAAATTATTACAATATAAAAATATATTAAAAACGTTTAAGTTAGGTGCTATTAAATACAGAATTCTTTAATCAATTGACAGCACTTTATATATATATATACACACACACGCATGCCAAAATGTTTGTAATTTATTTAAAAATTATTTAATATGTCTGAATACATATATTTTACGTCAGTTAGGTAGAAGAAGAACACATTTTGCAAGTCACCAGATAATTTTAGCAGATATAAACATGTCTCACGGCATAACATGACTTGGATAGATCATGTCTGGCAGTGCAAGATGCCGGTTTCATTAGCTCCTGAAGCCCTCTTCACCACGATTGAAACCTTGACCCCAGCCCTGCTACACTTAACCATGTTTTATTCTGCTGTAAAGACCTCTGTGTTTAGTGCAGGGGTCCATCCAGCATCGTAAAACACGACTGAAGGGAAAAAAGAGAGCGGGGACAGGGGTTAAGTTGACAAATCCCCCAGCTTTGAGCCTCAGCGGGCCGGTAATCTCTCTGGTAAGCAAAGAGCTCTCAGGTACCCCTTGTGTTATCAGCGCACGTCCACTTATGGTAGTCAAGACGGCCTCACTCTGTTGTCTTCTCCCTTGTAGCTGCCGTGGGCCAGTGACATGAGGGTCATTAGGTCCCCGCGCTTCAGTCAACAGCCCTGTGTTTGCCAGGCCACTTGTCCCGAGACTCTTTATCTTTTGTCGCCAAATTTAGACGGCATTGTTGCCCCTCAACTTGCATGAAATTGCTCTTTTGTGTAGAGCGCTGCAGATTAAGTGAAACCGAGAGAGAAAGAAAAAGATCATATCTTCAGAAATTATCATTTTAGATAGACAGACAGAGACTAGACAGACAGAGATAGATAGAGAGACAATAGACGGACAGACAGAAGATAGATAGATAGATAGATAGATAGATAGATAGATAGATAGATAGATAGATAGATAGATAGATAGATAGATAGATAGATATATTTAGATAGATATATTTAGATAGATAGACAGACAGACATAGATAGATAAGACAGACAGACAGATAGACAGACAGACAGAAGTTAGATACGTAGACAGACAGACAGACAGACAGACAGACAGACAGACAGACAGACAGACAGACAGACAGACAGATAGATAGATAGATAGATAGATAGTAGATAGATAGATAGATAGATAGATAGATAGATAGATAGATAGATAGATAGATAGATAGATAGATAGATAGATAGATAGATAGATAGATAGATAGATAGATAGATAGATAGATAGATAGATAGATAGATAGATAGATAGATAGATAGATAGATAGATAGATAGACAGACAGACAGACAGACAGACAGACAGACAGACAGACAGACAGACAGACAGACAGACAGATAGATAGATAGATAGACAGACAGACAGAGATAGACAGACAGACAGACAGACAGACAATCAGACAGATAGATAGATAGATAGATAGATAGAGATAGATAGACAGACAGACAGACAGAGACAGACAGACAGACAGACAGACAGACAGACAGACAGATAGATAGATAGATAGATAGATAGATAGATAGATAGATAGATAGATAGATAGATAGATAGATAGATAGATAGATAGATAGATAGATAGATAGATAGATAGATAGATAGATAGATAGATAGATAGATAGATAGATAGATAGATAGATAGACAGACAGACAGACAGACAGACAGACAGACAGACAGACAGACAGACAGACAGACAGACAGACAGACAGATAGATAGATAGATAGATAGACAGACAGACAGAGATAGATAGATAGACAGACAGACAGACGGAGATAGATAGACAGACAGACAGACAGACAGAGATAGATAGATAGATAGACAGACAGACAGAGATAGATAGATAGACAGACAGACAGACAGACAGAGATAGACAGACAGACAGACAGACAGACAGATAGATAGATAGATAGATAGATAGATAGACAGAGATAGATAGATAGATAGACAGACAGACAGAGATAGATAGATAGACAGAGATAGATAGATAGATAGATAGATAGATAGACAGAGATAGATAGATAGATAGATAGATAGATAGATAGATAGATAGATAGATAGATAGATAGATAGATAGATAGATAGATAGATAGACAGACAGAGATAGATAGATAGATAGATAGACAGATAGATAGATAGATAGATAGACAGAGATAGATAGATAGATAGAAAGAATATATGGATGGATGGATAGATACATACAGACAATAGATAGACAGACTGACAGATGGAAGATAGATAATCTTTATATACAGTATAAATATTATATACTTTATATATAGTATAATATAATTATAAATAATAAAATACATACATTTCAATAAATAAATATATTTAGGCCTCTGTAAAATCACCTAGTATGGAACATAATACATATTGGAAGTTTGTTTGCATTTCCATTTATTTGCATCTGTGAGGAGGGGACGGCCTGTCTCTGACTACATCCTGGAACATCTCCAGGTAAATCAAAAAGTCTTACCCCGCTGAACACGCGTGTCCGGCCTGATAGCCACACATCCCATATAAAACATGCTCATGAGTGCTGCTGTTTGGCAGAAGCAGTTCAAAGTTTGCGGCCCTGTATCAAAACCCGCTGTGTTCTTTTGATCTCGCATTTTACCACCTGTCTTATTTCCATTCAGTCATTGCCTCGGCTCGGACGGCCGTTCTAACTCTCTTCACCTCCGGTTAATCATTCCTTCAGTACTATCTGTCCGCTCTGGCTTATCTATCTGTGTGTCACTTTATAACTGGCTCTTATCAATCTCGTCTAACTCCACGTGATCAGGGCAAACCTATCAACCTCAGAAGTTTTGAATATTGTTGAGTAGGTGAGATATGCAGGTTTAGTGCAGGTCACGGTGAGGGGGGATGAGGGAGTGAGTGGCGTGTGTGAAAGTAAAGGGAGAGATGTCAAAAACACCTCACGGAATCTGGATGAAGCTTATCGATGAAGCTTAAAAAGTTTGGAAGAATGGAGATATCCTGTGGGATATAGTTGCTCAGGTGGATCACCTGCTGTTTCTGTCCTATGTCCACTATTTTGGAAAGGGAATTAGGACAACGGGACTCCTTGGGTAAGTATATTTGCTATGATGAAATGACATTATTCATTCATCTTCACTGTATATTCAACAGATTTGAACAGAATACGCGTGGGAATTCAAATTAAAGATTTGAACTGCCCAGATGTGAAGCACTGGCCCGATGACGGTTTTCTTTATCTTCTGAACGTCTTTATGATGTTTTATCGTCATTCAGTGGTATTAAGATTTATTTTTTTATTTTTTTTTAAACCAGGATGAAGCGTGTTAGGCTATATGTCGCATTCGCATGCAATAACATAAACGGCATTTTATTTGTGCTGTTTTGTTACTGATAAGCCGGCTGGTAGCGGAAAGCATTAATAATAATAGTTTTGAGGTAGCACTACGATTTTAGTATTGTTATAATAGTTAATATGACATAATATGACAGTCTATAAAAGGAAAATATTTAAACTTTCATGAACGGTGAAATGTTTGAAATATAAAGGTGTGTGAGATCGAAAGGGAAGGAAACTAAAAATCTTGTTTTTAACGGGTGTAAGAATGTGTGTGAGTTTGTGTTGATTGTCTGGCTTATGTATGTAAACACTGCGTATGTGCCAACTATTTTCGTTATGTATGTTGTCATGTCATATGTTTTATCTGAAGGATTTTTATGATTTTATTAGCTGCAATATTAGTATATTGCCACAATAACATCACGAAGAAAGAAGCGTTTCTTTCATCCTTTCCCCCACATTATTCGCCAAAATAGTTTAGGTTTACATTAAAATACAATTTAAATGAAAAAATATATAAATTTACTTAATGTTTAAATAGCCTAAATAAAATAAAACAAATGACAAAACTATTATTTTCATTGTACAATTTCATACACAAGACTTTTATCTCTTGTTCTTTCTTTTTCTATAAATTCAACTTTAAAACATCACAGAGGATTTAAAGAGCATGTTAATGCCATTAAGGAGGCTAGCCTAGATCGCGAATAAATTAAAAAGTACATTTCAGAACAAATCTTGTTTCGTTTTGTCCTGCTTTCTATTACCGTTCCTCTGCATCAATATTTTTTGTAATACACACATACATTTCACCCTCCGGCACATCATCACATACCTCCCGGTGCTCCAGTTATCAGCGCAGCGTGTCTCGTAATGTTCAATTAGTTTAGTTTGTCTGTGTTTGCCGGTGCAAGTGGACAGAGCGCGGAGGCGCTGATTCTCGGGCTCGATTCTGATTGGACAAACGCGTGACGCCAGCGCACCGATCTCAGCGCTGATTGGTCGGCGTGGTGTCAGTGCGGCGTAACAAAGCAGCGAGGAGCCGTTTGAACTTCACAGATAGAGCGACACAGAGCGCGCGGAGGAGGGGCTCGTGCGAAGTTCCTGACAGTTCGCGCACTCCAGTTTAAAGACCAGCATCATAGTCGCTGCAAAGACCACCCGAATGAACTTACACAGCTTGTGAACAACTAGCAGAAAAAAAGAGGGGCAGTCGAACTCAAGCCGTCTAGTAGATCCACGCGCACAGGATTAGTTTCGGACGTTTGGACGGTGTTTTGGAGAATCTCTGGTGTTCCTCTCGCGCGCAGGCGGAGCGGCGCGTGCTCATCATCGGCTCAGCAGAGCTGTCATGCTGCCTAAAGTCGAGTCAGAATCTCTGGGACTCGCTCGATCGCATGGGGAACAGGGGCATTTGCCTGGAAACATGCAAGGTAAGCGGCATAGATGTCAGATAATGTGCGCCATGCACCTCCCTTCACTCATGCACATAATATTACGCTTCACCAATGTCAGATATTTTACGAACATGCATTGCATTGCATGCCTCAAATATAACTTAAGTATAGCATCAGAACTAAATATTTGCGTTTACTTTTACTATAAATTACTCGCACTTAAACCGCGTAAAGATAGCCTACATTAGGAAACAAAGTAGCCTAAATTGCAGTGCAACAGCAGAGCGTGAATTATTTTGAGCTTAGTGAACTCATATAAACTAAACATGATCTGCATCACCTGCCAATGAATTTGCTCTTAGTATTTACAACAGACGGGGAAAACGAAACCATAATAATGACTATGACAGAGCTAACATAAATCTGCTAGTCCAAAATAGGATAGCCTATGTCAAGCTGCACTTTTTAATAAAGGTTCCAGTAAGGACAGAATAGATTTAGAAAACCAACTCTGTACTGGAACCAATACACAACTGAAGAACCAACCCATAATGCATTTTTTTAATCTCAAAAGAATCATACAGCAACTCGAGAACCCCGCGACAAATGATTTTCTCGTAAAGAAGAACGTTTTTTTTTTTTTTTTTTTTTTAAAGAGCGTATTTACAGTCGTATAAAACAAATTTGATCTCCATGGGCATATAAGTGACTGGAACAGATCGATTATGCTCTATTATAATCGAGAAATATTTTTAAATAGGCTAGAAGAGAGATTCCAATTAAAAAATTCCTGGTGAGAAATTCGTGGAATGTTCTGTAGTTTAAGAGCTTTTAAAAAAATAATAATGTATTTTCAAATTAAAATATTTAAATGTTGTTCTATTCTATTTTACGTTGCTCGAGCACACGTCATAAAACAAAGCCAGCGTAAGCCGTTATGAATAACGATTTGTTTACAAATCAAGAAACGTGTCAGACCGGCATGTTTTAGTCACATTTTAAAATTAAATAAAAAATATGGAATTATCGACGATATGAAAATGCTTCAGATGTAATGCTCGTGGAATTATTTATTTTACATAAATGTCAGCCGTTTAAAACACACACACACACACACACACACACAAAACACTTGTTGCGCTTCTGCAAAAATACATTTTTGGACATATTGAATTCATGGGCATATTAGAATAATAATGAGTAATAAACGAGTCCGTAAATAGTAAAGTTATGTTTTATAGCTTAACGTTTTGCTTTACAGTAGCCTAGTTTCTTTTCCAAAATGAAGTTGTCTTTTTTCCCCTTCACATTGCTGTTAACGTCAAAAACACTATGTGGAGGTTGATGGTTCTATTTAGAACGCTCAAACTGCACGACTTCATCCATGTTAATGCTAATTAAAAGATGAAGATGAATTGAAATGAGAACATATTTATATTCTTTATAGAAAGAAGAATAGTCTCAGATAGACTAAAGACATATATATGTTTTGTTTTGGTAGCACTACACTATTCTCGTGTATTTACATGTTGTTTTGCTTTTATTCGCCTCGTGGCTAAACGTTCCACTCCAGCGCGAGACAGCAGCCTCTCTCGCGCGCTCCCTCACCAATTTACAAGCCATCATGAATATTAACCAGATCGAAACTGAAGTTTTGCCCTGTCTGCGACCAAGACCCGACTCAAAGCTTCGGCTATTTCCCAGAGACCCAAACCGGCATCCAGAAAATTCACTCTTAAGGCTAGGATTTTACTAAGCTCACCATTTGTGATTCCTCTACTTTTGTTACTTGTTTGCAAAACTGCAGGCTACACGTTGAAGGTATCGGAGATATATAAAAAAGGAACTATTAGAACATTCAAAATACAAATATGTGCTTTACACGCCTAAAAATAAAGGTTCTTCAAGCTTTCAGGAATATTTTCTCTGGGTTTTTGAGCTAGCTATATGGTTGTTTGATATTTTAACAGTTCTTGACTTTTGTTAGGCTCTTCAGATGAGTGTGCATGTTTTTGGGTTCTACTAGAAAAGTAGCCTATCTTTTTAAATGAACATTAAAAAAGTTCTCCTATAACATCCCTTTTTAAAATAATTACAAAAACATGTGTGTAACATGGATTCTGTTATGTGAATTGTTACCCAGTACTCATATTTTGATTGTGATTTTCAGCCCCCCACTTTAAAATGATGGACTACTCTTACGACGAAGACTTAGACGAAATGTGTCCAGTGTGTGGAGACAAGGTGTCCGGATATCACTACGGGTTACTGACCTGTGAGAGCTGTAAGGTGCGTAACATCAGCTGTTTTTAACTTCTCAACTGGTGGGTCGTCGTGTTTCTAAAAATTTTCCATTTTTAGAACAGCAAAATGAATTGCTTTGTGTGTTTTTAAACGAGAGAAGAAAACGCTTTCCATATCTTTTGTTGTTGACCTCAAAGGCCACTCAAGTGGTATTTTGAAGCATATTCATCTGTTGACAATTGGTAAAATGTTAAAATTTTTTGCAAAAATTGTCCTTGAAAACCATAATATTAATGAATTAGCTTGATTTTAGGGACATATTTATATAAATATATGTACAGCATATACATATTGTAATGGTTTGGGTTGCCACTTGATGTCCAAAAACCAGTACAACTGATCTAATGTGCTCCTGTTATTCATTTTTTAAACCAAGTTTGTAAAAATCCTGTTTTTTTTTTATTGAAACCCAATTAATGGACTTTTCAGAGTTATTTATTGGCATTATATAGGATGTTGTTATGCAGGCTGCATATTGAGTAAACAAAGTTTTTTTGTTTTGTTTTTTTCAATGTGCAGCTGAAATCTGATGGTGTGTTTCCTGACACCGTCAGGGGTTTTGTAGTTCAGACACACATTAGAGTTTATAAACCAAATGGACATTTAGCAAAATCCAGAGTCTTTGACACACACACACACACACACACACACACGCACACACAAGGTTGTATATGGTCGCTTTTTCTCTGTACTCTTAAAAAATAAAGGTTCCAAAAGTGGATTTCACAGCAATGCCATAGAAGAACCATTTTTGGTTTTCCAAAGAGCCTTTTAACTTTTTTTTTTTATGGCTAACTAAGCCAATTTTTAAAGTAGTGTAAATATCATTTTAATATAGAGAACCTTTTTCCACTTTGAAGAACCTTTTGTGGGATAGAATGTTAAATGTTCTTCATGGAACGTCAATAAAGAACCTTTATTTTTAAGAGTGAAGCACAACATGAGAAAATGATTTGCCACTTAAAACCATCTTCTTGAGTTTTGACAAAGATGATATTATCATTTAAAAGAATTTAAACATAATTGAAAATTCCGTTTATGATTTGAATATGCTATATTTAATATGTTTCTTACATATTTCATTTCAAGTTTGACTTGTTTTATTGATAGTCTACATTCAAGGTTAAGCACTTTATGTTACAGCCATGTGTGTGTGTGTGTGTGTGTGTGTGTGTGTGTGTGTGTGTTATTTGAGTTCTGGCCAGTATTGATCCTTTTAGTTTTAAATGGGCCGGTCTCCCTACGGTGTTGATCAAGAATAAGTTAATGCCGTTCCTCGTTTGATTCTCTCCTGCCCTGAAAATGAATTCAGAACAGTTGCAGATGGAATCTTGTAATCCTACGGCTGTAAATTATGGATAAATTTATCGGATTTTTTTTTTTTTTTTCAGTTTCTTTTTTGCTTCTGCAGTATGTATAATAGGATCAACAGGAATTTATTTTGTAGACATTTTGATGTTTGCAAGCCCCTGATTGGATGTTCAAATGAAAATATATGCTTTAAAGAACATAATTAGTCAAACGTAAAAAACGCTACCAAATCTGAGTTTCCTTTCGCACTGAAAGATCTTGTTTTCTTCTAGCTTTTATGGCTTGCTTCTCTGGTCATAATTACTCCAAGAGGAGCTCAAGGAGAGACGTAAAATATGTATTAGTATGTCACAATGCTAAATGCGGGTGAAGGGGATCTTTATATTAGCCAGGATATCAAGCGGGTCACCTAAAGTATTTTGTAGACTCTATGGTCGGCATTTCACATTTCTCAATCTGTTTCTATCCAGCCTCAGCCTGTATTTCTGTTTGTTCATGTCAAGTGTGTGTGTGGGTGCACATGTCAGTTTTTGTGTGGGTGTGTGTGTGTTTGTGTTTATCCAAGTGAGCATCGACTGCTGAGGGAGCGTTTCTCTGCCCGTGGCTCTACTTTTATACGTGTCTACTTGTGTGGCAGTGTGTAACACCTCTTTTTTTTCTGTGTGAATGGAATTTTTTTTCCATACGTGTGTGTGGGTTGTCTGTGGCTGAATAGCACATTAACAAACACCGGAGGTCAGAAGTTTGACATCTTCATTCACCTCACTCTGCAGGGCTTCTTCAAGCGCACGGTGCAGAACAACAAGCGCTACACATGTATAGAGAACCAGAGCTGTCAAATAGACAAGACCCAACGGAAACGCTGCCCCTACTGTCGCTTCCAGAAGTGCCTCACTGTCGGCATGAAACTGGAGGGTAAGAAGTCTTTTTAGTTCATCCATGCATTTCTTCCTCTAACTGAACACAGCTTTAGCTCTTTAAAGAGCATTTCTGGCATCATTTACTCACCCGCAAACCCGTAGGATGTTCTTTCTTCTCTGGAACACAAAAGGAAGGATGTTCTCACTGCTCTTTTCCATAAAGAAAATGATATGACCAATAAGGTATAACAATTTTTTTTTTACATTACTTTATCTCATCAAAATAAGTTATGCGATTTTCATGATTCAACTCATTTGTTTTTAGTCAGTTTAATGTAATTTAAGTTGAATTGACTTAAATAGGCAAGTTGATTGTACTTAAAAAAATTAAGGCAGTAATTTATCATTTTTTTTTACAAAAAAAAGTGGTACATATGAATTGTGCACTATATGCCAAGTCTTCGTACAGGAATAGACTAAAATATAAGTCATTATTCACTTTTTGGAGCTTGACAGCTTTGGTCCGCACTTTCATTGTGTGGAAAAGAGCAGCGTGAACATTCTGCTAAACATCTACTTTTGTGTCCACCTGAAGAAAGAATGTCAAACAGGTTGGAAATAACACAAAACCAACTACCATCTAAGAGTTCTAAATGCTTAACTACACGATTCCTTCTTCTTAGTATGTAGATGTACGACTGTTAATTGTTTAACTGCTGGAGGGCAGAATTTCTAGCAGTGTCGTTTTGTTGCTAGCTGGCTTTGATTTGCTACCGCATGCTACCAACAGGATACGAGGCCCTCCAGCGCCCTGTCAGACCCGTCCAAAGAGATGAGCGCTCGCTAATACTCCCCACAGGCTTCTTCTGATAGCTCGTTCTCCTAAGGAAAGCTGCAGAGATGGAAAATGTTAACCAAAATGCTGTTTTGAATACAAACCGCAGCAGTAAGTTTCATGCATATCGCTTGAAAACAGAACTACTGCTAAAGGAATTATACTTATTAGTATAAAAACTTTGTGATGCACTGATGGCAACTTTAATTACATTTTATTTCAAATGTAATAATTTAAAGTTGTTTATAATATTTCAAAAAATACAATCGATTAGTAACAATAAAAATAATAATCATATATGCCATTATTCAGGGGCCCCAGGCCCCATGAATTTTAGTGATGGACCTGCAATCCATGATTTATGACATCATTTAGTCACGAAATTGATCATGTACTGTATGACATAATTAAAAAAAATATATATATATTTTATATATGAAAGCTGAGCCCCCCGACTAATAGGTAAGCTATACATTGTTATCATTATTATATATATATATATATATATATATATATTAATTTAAACAACTTCAAATTGCAATCAATTTTATGACAAAATGATTCATTAGTGATGGACCTGCGATCCATGACTTATGACATAATTTTGTCATAAAATGAATGGCATTTTTTAAAGAATTGATGGATATTTTTAAGAATAATAAAGTAGTTTACCTATAAGTTGGGGATCCTGCACACCATGAATTTTGTAGTGATGGACGTACCGGAAATAAATGCTTCAGTTTAAATCTTCCTTTATGTATTATCTGAAGCTTTCAGCAAACAGATTTGAGTGCACTACTCGCCATAATTGTGCAAGTAGCAAAACAAAACATTCATATCAGTGTGACACAGACAAGTGGCCTTCCATGTCTCCATGGAAGCTCCATTATCAATACAGATAAGAAAAGGCTGCTGTTTTAAAGTTCTCAAAAAAGCACGGGAGAGCGTGTTATGTCTTCCTAGGAAGGCCTGTAATTATATTCCTTTATATATTTGTGGCTCAGTTTCAGATTAAGAAAGAGAATCCAATCTTTTTGACCATCATATAATCAGTATCGAGTTGAGGAAGTGAAAAGAAATCTACATAGCCTTGCCTGTGCGCTTATTCATTCCATTCGAGCCCAATGTTGTGCACAGTGGAGCGTAAAATAGTTTAGATTTCATCAAGCGTCTGTTATCCATATTAAGGACCTTGATGAATCTGACAATCTGGCACGGCTTTACTGTGAATATTTACTCCACGCTTTCCATTGCGCACTTTGTCATTTTTTGGGACTGATACTCGTTTGCCATCTCCAGCCTCTGGTGGTGGCGGCAGCAAGCTGTCCCATTACTTATGCATAGGTATCATAGCTATTCATGTGTGCGCATGGAACGACGTACCTTTAGAGTAGAGCTCCGGCGGACATGACAAACTGTGTGTCAGGAGCCGGCCAGGGGAGGCATTCATATGCCTGTGATAGGACAGGGATTCTCGCCCAAGCAACGCTTAATATTCCTGTATATTAAACACACATAAATCAGACAATAAGCAGCGCTCAAATCTGCCCAGACGGGCCCCCGTCTACAGAGACGCAAAACACGCACAAACAAACAACATCTATGGACTGCCAATTCAAGTAAATTAGATCAGGCAACTGCTTTTATTACCAAGGCAATTGCTTTCCGCAAGCCATTTGAATAAGTCACAAATTTGCTTTATAACTCATGTGTACACACAGACTTGCTCGATACAGGCTACAAACACATACAGAATAGATATACAAACTCACACAGTTTACATAAAAGAAACAGAATTTCTATTTCTGTGTTCGAAATAGAATACTAGCCTACTACATACTGAATACTGAACAATGTATACTATCATTTTTAAAAATCATAGTATAGGTGCATTATTTACGCAATAAATTATTGTTCCAAAAAGTAGTATGCTATCTCATCATGTATAATGTTGAAAATAAATATTTATTGAGCATTAGATCTAATTTTTTGTATGCATTTTTGGAATCCCAATTAAATTCACAATAAAAGACTGTTTTTTTAAATTGGTGCTGATATTGTTTTAGGTTCATTTATCACACTGTTGCTGAATTCAGAACCTCATACTAGTATACTACTCATAGTACCACATCTTTCTGTGGCACAAATAGTAAGAGTAGTATGCAAGTATGCGGTTCTGAATCAGCCTAGGAATTGAAGGTCAAGATGAACGCATTGCATTGTAAGATATAAAGCATGCTATTCCGTGTAGTGTGCTTTTTGTGTAAATGTAGTAGGCCGTTCTTTGCACAAAGTATATACTACAACAATGGTAAGAGTGGTAAGGTAGTATGCTATTTCGAATATAGCCAGAAACACAGAATGTCATTATACGCATACAGAAAATTGTCCATAGTACAAGTATGTATACTATATACTGCAATAATGGTACAAGTAGTATGCTAGTTCAAACACAGAAGATCATCCATTCTACGCATAAAGAAAATGTGCATACTGTGCATAGTATACATACTACTGCAGCATTATTAGTAATATGGTAGTAGTATGCTATTTTCAATATAACTAGAAATGCACACGCAAAGCAAATGTATTATTTTATTGAAAATGTGCATACTGTGCATAGTATACATACTAAATACTGCAGCAATAGTAGTGTAGTACTATTATGAATACAGTCAGAAACACACATAAATCTTCTTGTCTTATGCCAAAAAATCAGTATGACATGCATGTAAATAACCTTGTTTAATTAGACGCTGTGAGAAAAAATCTTATTAGAAGACAAAAAGGAAGAGGGGGATGGTGTCAGACAGAGTGTGTAAGCGTGCATGTGCATGGGGGGGGGGGGGGGGGGGCATGCATTCATGATCTGAGTCGTAGGTCTAATTGTGATTTCCCATAAGGGCCGACTATTAGTTTCCAGATCATTAATTACCCTGTTGCTCGGGAATCATTAATAGTTAAACTTACCACAGTTTTTCTGATTGGATACATTTTTAACAACCACATTAAGGCCAAAAAATCAGCACCCCCACCCAAAAAAAAGAAAAATCTCCCACCAAGTTGCCCAGGAATAATTCTCGGATGTTACTAGAGCTGTCAGCGGGATCGCTCTGGCAACACTTTGCCTCCCCTCTATCACCAGATCAATCAGATCACACACATAGTGACAACCACACACACACAAACACTCACCGCTGTGACAAGGACCATTAAAATCACTCCCAAGGCAGCTGTTGGACGGGGGGTTTTCTTTTAATTGTTTTCTTTTTTTTAAGATCCACCGTTCGTGAGATACTACGGCCTAACGAGCGCGTTCACGCTGGTCAAGTCGCACACGCGTCTACAAACGCATGCTCTCCACATATGCTGTGTGTTTAACACCCTGCTGGATCCTCCAGCCATCCACCTGCCTACAACGTGGAGCATAAAAGAGGAATAATTAAGCATAAATAATTAACATGGGACCCAGCAGACGAAAGTGGAGTCTACTGCCCTGTGGCGGGGATCAGAGTCACTTCCGGGCAAAAGGCGCTCTTCTTCATTTATTTGCCATAATGATGATCTCGTCCGCTTGACTTTGTCTCGCTTCAGTTTACTATTGAATCATTAGCACCGTTTCTCTCTAAATTGTGTCCTCTGGCTCGATTATGCTGATTTCGCTCTAGGTCTGGCTTTGAAAAAACGGGTCAATTCACAATTCAAATTCACACATGAAATTTACACCGATTGCTTGTTGCAAATAAGCAACTGCCCTAAAAGTGTGTGGCCAGTTCAATGGCTTCTCTGCTGTGGTATAGATCAATTGATACTGCGTACTAATACTTCTCTATTTTAATTGTTTGAAGGTGGAGTGTATAACTTTTTTGATGTTAAAATATATTTGTATTTGTATATTTGTCGGTTACTCCCTTGAAATGTCTGTCTGTCTATCTATCTGTCTGTCTATCTGTCTGTCTGTCTGTCTATCTATCTATCTATCTATCTATCTATCTATCTATCTATCTATCTATCTATCCATCCATCTATCTATCTATCGTTCTATCTATAGGTCTATCTATCGTTCTATCGTTGTATCTATTGTTCTATTGTTATATCAAGGCTTTGTCAAGCTGACATTCAAACTGCTTTTTTAGATAAACATTTTAGTTAATAGTTATTTACATGATTTTCTATTACAAATTATTTAGCTTGCTGACATTTAAATTTTAATTCCATCCTGTTTACTACCTCAATTCAAATTCAGCTGAAATATAGGACTTGAACGCGGTTTCTGAATGACGTCATTACTTCTGCAATTCCGTTTGTCGGCACTAGTGGATTTTTAGAATTCTTTAGAATTCTAAAAATGACAATTCTGTGATTTTCTAATGAATTAATACCCATCTCATGTTGTGTTTTACCTTTTATAAGCTGTGAGGGCCGATCGAATGAGAGGAGGTCGCAACAAGTTTGGCCCCATGTACAAACGAGACCGGGCACTCAAGCAACAGAAGAAAGCCTTGATCCGGGCCAATGGACTCAAGCTGGAGGCCATGACGCAAGCCATGCAAACCGTCCCAGCGGACCTCACCATTACCTCTGCCATTCAGAACATCCATTCGGCCTCCAAGGGGCTTCCACTGAGCCACCATCACCACCACCACCACCATCACCACCACCATAGCTCCACAAGCGCAGGCCTGCCACCTGCAGACTTTGACCGCAGCCCCTTCGTCACCTCGCCAGTCAGCATGGCCATGCCGCCGCACCCTGGAGGACTGCAGGGCTACCAGCCATACGGCCACTTCCAGAGCCGCACCATCAAGTCAGAGTACCCCGACCCCTACACAAGCTCGCCGGAGTCTCTCATGGGCTATCCGTACGTAGAAGCCTACACGGGCGGATCGCCGCCCAGCTTTCCTCACCTGGTGGTGGAGCTCCTCAAGTGCGAGCCGGACGAGCCCCAGGTGCAAACCAAGATCCTAGCATACCTGCAGCAGGAGCAGGCCAGCCGAAGCAAGCACGAGAAACTCAACACTTTCGGCCTCATGTGCAAGATGGCCGACCAGACACTGTTCTCCATCGTAGAATGGGCCAGGAGCAGCATCTTCTTCCGGGAACTGAAGGTAAGTGATGCTTTTGTTCATCTGAAAAGATAGTAAAGTGTGGTGGTTGTAAACTTCAAGTGATCTAAAAGCATTTTACATAGCGTTGTGAATCAGCATGGATGTCTGTTGACCTAAAATTCAGGACAAATCTGGGAAAATACCAGAATTAAGTTGTTCAATTTTAGTAACAATATAAGGACTGTTCACTAGCCTGACGTCGTCATACTCAGATTCTAGTCAGAATGTGAGTCTGATACTGCTCCATTGGGCTGTGATTATGGGGCGTGTTTCAACCGAACCAGGAAAAAAATGCCTCTACACTCAATTGGATTCGACCGAATCCCGTAGGAAGGACGGCAAAAACATCTTTCCGATCGACAAATGCCTTGATCGCGGTTCTCTGTTCCTCTTTTAAAATGAATGCGCTGTCTAGATCTTCTATAACAGACGCGATGGCTGAATCTACACATCTAAATTCTCCAGCGGCAGCCGTTCTTTGTCGTAAACGAATTCAACCCAAGCGCTCTTTGGTGACGTGGATGATTACGTTACTGTTGATCAGCTGTCCATCAGCGTATAAAGCCCGCCCTGACAATTTGATTGGTCTGAACAGCTTTGGTTCGGGCATACTTGCTTCACAACGGATCAAGTCCAGACCGAACTTCCCATCCTCAAATGTTGTGGGCGGGACTAAGTTCGGCTGGCATCCAGGCCAACTGTTCACACCAAGGGGAATAACTATGACGAAAACAATAAATATAAAGTTTTAGTAATCACTCTAATTCTATGGGAACTATAACAGTAACGACACAGAGGAACGATATCGTTGGAATCACTTTCAGAACGTTCTTTCCAGCTGATGAATGATTAAGAAAATTGACAGCCAATCAGAATCTGATTTGAAAATCTGATTTGAAATCTGAAGGACACGACGCCGCAACGCAATAAAGGGTATCTTTTCCATCTTAATCAGAGTTTTTGTCCTAACCAGTCGCGATGGCAATATGCAACGATTCTATTTTAGAAACGGCTTCTTTTTCTGCGACAACAACATACAAAGTATGACAATGATAATCTCAGGCACTGGTTATGTGCTTTATTTAATGTTAAAAGCATCTAATGTGCGTTTGAATATCATTTTGCATGACCTTTATAACCATACTAAAAGCGACAATGGATAATTCAGATCTTTAAAAAAAATTAAGGATTATTCAATGTATCAACTCAATGTGAACAAAAAGCTGTATTCTATGACAGTCTTTCAGTCACTCGGTATGTATTTTTTAATAATGTTAAAATTGTGTAATAGCTATTTACAGACTTGATTATGTACTTATCCATTGCAGTGGCGCTTACAGAGAGACTCCGCCCACACACTCTTCTGATTGGCTGTGATTTTTGATTGATATTGTCACGTTGCGTAAGGTGTGAACAAACAAATTTGCTTGTCTCTGGAATCTTATCGCATCTCGTCTGGTTAGGGCACGTGTTAGAAGATTATCATGTTTTTGATTAATCTTACGGTATAAAGCATTCATTTTTCTCAACACTACAGTGCACTAGTTGAAGTATTAATATGAATGAGACAAATGTTCCCCTTTGATGGGACAGCTAATTAGTTTTCCATAAATAATGTCTCAAGGCTATTTGTGAGGACTTTTTTGGGATGGCCTGAAAAATACATAGTGTATTTGTGTTAGTATTTCGAATGATGTATTGACACACTGATCTATAATTGACGATTTACTACACCAGCTGAAGAGGCCACTCTGGTGCCATTCATTTTTTATTTTCACTTGTTTTAACCTTTTTTCTCTATACACATCTGCCTGACAGAAATATTGATGGAATTGAGAAGACTGTGAGGGTTTTAGTAACTCGTGCATGTCTGCCTTTGTGAAAGATTTTGCTCGTGAGCATGCTGTATTTTATCCGCCCGTGACATGTTTTGATATGCCACTGGGAAATCTGACAGCACCCAATTCAAATCATTCATTTTGTGCTCGTACAGCTACAGGCACCTTATTGTTTTCCTCTCATTACATTCAACAGCTCATGAGATGGACTAGAATGCATTTATACTGAGGATTGACCATGACTACATTTGAAATATGTAGTAAATTCTGACGTTGTTGCGATACTGTCAAAATAACGTACTAAAATACTCACATTTTTAGTATTGGGGTGAATATCAACTTTAAATGTTTTGATATCAGGATATTCAGTGCCATTGACGTCTTCATTAGCTCCTCTTGGGATTTTACAGCAATCGTTGGTGGCTAAAAAAAAGAAGAAATAAAAATATGACAGCTGATCATGTGAATATAAATACTGTCATTGTACATTTCAGAGAACAATAACATTTTTGCTGTTTTCACACTAACAAATTTGTTTTCATCAATCTTTATCCACCAATTCACCATCAATCAGATGTTACATTTTCTTTAAACTCTTAGATTTAGATATAAAACAGTTTTTCCCCCAACATAATTAAATTAATCAGTTTTCAAAGCCGAATGTTACGCTCTTCCCTGTGCTATTACCTATAGAGCTTTATTATCCATTCTCGCGCTCTTTAGCTCAAGCATTGTATTCCCACTTTAGCGTGGATTAGCATTTGTGTGTGGCTAATTGCTGTCTGTATCATTTACCTTTAATTGTGTTTGCACTTCACCTTTCGCCGCGGTGGAGTAGCCTCCCCTTGATGTTATGACTACTTTCTCGCCCTGGCTAATTGTTTTGCACAATAGATGTTAAAAGAGACAAGGGCGTAGCTGTCGAATTTGACATTAGCAGTCGTAGTGTGGCGGTGAAGTTGTAATTAGCGCAGCTCTCATGTGCCCTCGCTAAATCATATGCTGGAGCGCTAACGGAAAAACCACAAACAAAAAAAAGGTAGCACTAGAAAGTCTGAACCCACTCCTGACTCTAATTAGTGAACACTTGTACAGCTATTGTTACCCACGGAGCTTTGTGATGCTGATCGAGGTTTATCCCACATAACGTTGTGGTTTTAACAAGCTTCATATCTATCGAGAGCTCAAATAAAGCTGGAAAATTAAGGCAAGAGATATATATTCAGATTTAATGGCATGGAAATGGAGTAAATGGATGCTGTGAAAAGCCTCCCCTCACATTATATTTCCTAGAATGTGAATTTAGTGAGTTGTGGATTTCTCCAAAGGTGCTACAGATCAACATGCAAATAAGTGAAATCTACACTTTCAATTTCACAAGCATTAGCAATGCTACGCTAACAGTTTAGTGTGGTTATACAGCGGCACCTGTGTAAACAATTGCTGCTAGCATATGCTAGCATGTTCGTTGCACAAACACACTCACACACCAGCTCATAGCTCATATATGTGTAGTACATTACCCAACAACACCACAGACATCAATAAATGCTTTATCTACAAGATTAATAGATAAAAAAAGATGTTTTGGGAATATTCTGTGAGTTAGTTAATGACAGAGGTGTAGTGGGTAGCATATAATAAACACAGGAAATACAAGTGAATATAAGGCTTGTCTGGGAGGGTGGTGAGTCGGCTATAAATATATCTACATTTACTGCCCTATTATTAGCCTCATAAGAACAAAAGAATTTCTCCCGTAATACAGCCTGGTGTGAAACGTCTGCCAAGTGTTTAAAGATTTAGTTTCCATAAGTTAGACTTGGTTACAGCTCTCATAAATATTTGGTCATGATGGGATCTCTGAAGAGAGCTCACTATTGTCTTCAGACACATGAAAAAAAAAAAAAAATGAGAGGAACATTCCGATAGCCATTTCTCACACTTGGGCGACAGTGAATCTGTAAAATTTAGGAGAAGAGGAAGAGGTGAAAAATTAGCTTAGCTACCAACCGACCACAGATATTTTTCAAACTTTTTAAAGAGACTTTTAACCCTGTAAAAGCCTGACATATGAAATAAACAGTCCGGAAGATATTTTTTGTTTTACTTTATTAAACTATGAGTATCATATTTGATACATCAAACTTTTCCCCCTTATATACAGTAGTATGATATAGGAGTAAAAAATATATAATTTTTTTTCAATTACACATGAAGTTTATTTACTTAATAATTTTAAGGCGGGTTTCCTCACTTTTTTAAGTTAAGTCAACTGAGGAAATAAGATAAAATTCTGATAGCTTGTAATGTAAATCAGTAAAATCTTACAGTTTAACATGCATACAATACATATAAATATCAGTTGTCACTAATATGTCTTAGTTAGATGATATTTAAATGATTCGTTTTTTTATTAAAGCTCTATAGTTTTTATTGTGGGGGCAAAACATATAATGCAATTCAATACAATGATGATTGAGAGATGGGACGTTCCTCAAAAGCCTGAAGTATCATTTTTTTATATTCACATTTTAACATGATTTTTCTCTATATATATATATATATATATATATATATATATATATATATATATATATATATATATATATATATATATATATATATATATATAAAAAATACATATAGATAGTCAAGTACACCTAAGTTGTTTCAGTCCAGTAAGTGTTTATTTTGAAATATTACTAGCAATATACTATACAGTATATTCTTACTTGTTAAAAATCTGTGAAGATTTCACACCAAAAAGACGTGTACCCTGACCTGAAGGTGGACGTTTTTAGAATTGTATCAAAAGGACTTTTAATCAAATGACAGAAGGCTTGTCGTAGATTGTGTACAACAGGTTTTTCAGCAAAGTTTTGATCAAGTTTAAAGGCCTTATCATTTTGAGTACAGTAGGCTTTATAGGGTTAATGAGCAAAATGGCAAGTGAAACTACACACAGTAAAAAATGATATGATCAATAAGTTGACAACATGTGCTTTTACGTTCTTTTTTTTACAAGTTGTACAAGATTCAACTCATTTTTAAGTCAGTTTAATGCAATTTAAGTTGATATTACCTAAACATCCAAGTTGATTGTATTTAAAAATTTAAGGTAGCAATTTTTTTGACAGTGTACATCAAAAAGGCCTCCCA